AGGATAGAGCCGCTCTGTGAACATCTACAAGGGTGGAGATGTTTCTGCTGATCAACTAAAGACAAACGTTCTGACATGTTGGTCGCTCTGAAAGAACAGCCATATTTACTTCCATCAACAGGAATATACACAATTATAATCATATAAAACACGTTTGTTTACATGTAAACTGAATTTAAAGCACTTGATTATTGAAATAGAGTTGTTAACCCAATCTTTATAGTTTGTACAAGTGGTTAATGTGTCCTTAAACGATCAACTGGTGAGCATGTGTTTACCTGCAGGAATTAAGATTACTGAAAACAGGTCAACTGCCAGAATCTGGTTTTTGTTGTTTATTTTCGATGCTCTTTAATGTTTATTATTTTGTTTATTTTATTGTGTGAATGTTTATGAAGCAGGGCAGCACGGTGGCACAACTGGTAGAGCTGCTGCCGCTCAGCGAGAAGGTCCCTGGTTCAAATCCCGGTCCAGGGGCCTTCTGGGTGGAGTTTGCATGTTCTCTCCGTGCATGCGTGGGTTTTCTCCGGGTACTCCGGTTTCCTCCCACAGAACAAAAACATGCATGTTAGACTGATTGGTAACTCTAAATTGTCCCTAGGTGAGAGTGAGAGAGTGAATGGTTGTTTGTCTCGTTTGTCTCTATGTGTCCCTGTGATGGACTGGAGACCCGTCCAGGGTGTCCCCCGCCCCTCGCACAGTGATTGCTGGACTTGGGCACCAGCGACCCCCGGGACCCAAAAATGGAAGAAGCGGGTAAAGAGAATGGATGGATGGATGTTTACGAAGCATTCACACTATTGTGATCCATTTTTCTTCCGTGCGTTTTTCGACGTATTTCTCGTCCCACAGTTTTCATCTATTTCATCAATTCATAAATCAAAACGTTCGGCTCTTTCAGGACAATCCTGCTATGACTTTTGGTATTGGTGCAACTTTAGCTTTTTGAAATATTTAGCCTTTTCTGCCATTTTTTCCTGATAAATGAATGAAGCTCATTTTAAATCCTTCACATCTGCAGATCTGTTTACAACCTTTTACTGCTCCTTTCACATTTTGTTCTGGTTCAGCTTCTTTCAGCAATTTTTTACATTTTTTCCAGGTATTTTCTGCCAATTTCAGCTGTTTTGTGCTCCTTTTAGATTCTTTCTGCTAACTACATTTTTGTGCTTTTTCTAATTTCGTGTAGCTAATTTCAGCTTGCTGTGCCCCTTTCAGCTTATTTCTGCACGTTTCAGCTTTTCTAGTATTTCAGCTACTATAGCTGTTTTCAGGTTAATAAAAGCTTTTATAGCTAACTCCACATTTTTAGCGCTCAAACTTTTTTCAGGCTAATTCAGCAAAAATGTGCTCTCTCCACTTCCTTCTTGTAATTTCAGCTTCTTTCTGCCTTTTTAGCTACTTTTCAGCTTGAGCTTCTGGTGTTTTGAACCACTTTGGCATGACTGTCTCAGAGGAGTTGATGGTGGAGAGGTCAGGCCCCGGAGGCCATCTTAAATTCAATTCAACTCAGTTTATTTATAAAGCTCCAAATCACAACAAAGTTGTCTCAGGGACTTTACAGGAACATTCACATAAAAGCCAATTAGTAAAGTTCTCTATCTAAGGAATCCAGCAGACAAGTTGAATCTTGGCTTCGTTGCAGTCTCCCATCCTGAGCAAGCACAGTGGAGACAGTGGAAAGAAAAACTCCCTTTAACAGGAAGAAACCTCCAGCAGAACCAGCTCAGGACAAGAGACCATCTGCTTTGACCGGCTGGTTGAGAGGACAGGAAGGAGAGACAGATGAACATAGGATGGTAGGTCCAGGTGTAGGTCCAGGTCCAGGTGTAGGTCCAGGTCCAGATATAGGTCCAGGTCCAGATATAGGTCCAGGTCCAGGTATAGGTCCAGATGTATCTGAAAGACAAAAAACATGTTAAGGATATAAAAAATAATTACAAATACAAAACAGGTTAAGCAGAGTAAGTAAAGACAGTAGCAGAGTGAAAAGTGTGGTCAGTTTGTCCTCCAGCAGTCTAAGCCTATAGCAGCAGAACTAAGGGACAGCTCAGGAAACTCAAACCAACCCTAACTATAGGATTTATCAAAAAGGAAAGTAAATGGACTGTACTTATACAGCGCCTTTCTATCTTATTTCAAGATACTCAAAGCTCTTTACAACAATCTGTGCCTCATTTACCATTCATACAGCTCTATACTAGATCTCTACAAAGATAATTGAACAAATCATTCAAAAGAGACTAATCAGTGATTTATCACATTCATACACTGATGGGACACACATCAGAGGCTGTGAGGGGTTCAGTGTCTTGCCCAGGGACACTTCAGCATGTGACTGCTGGTGGATTTGAACCTCCAAATCTTGCATTGGAGGACGACTGCTCTAACCACTCAGCCACAGCCCAGCCAGCCTAGTTTTAAAACTGGATAATGTGTCAGTCTCACGGACAGAGATTGGCAGTTGGTTCCACAAGAGAGGAGCCTGAGAACTGAAAGATCTTCCTCCCATTCTGCTCTTGGAAACTCTAGGAACCACAAGTAAACCTGCAGTCTGAGAGTGAAGTGCTCTGTTAGTAAAATATGGAACAATAAGATCTGTAATATAAGATGGAGCTAGGTTGTTGAGAGCTTTGTAGGTTAGAAGAGTTTTAATTCTATTCTGGATTTGACAGGGAGCCAATGGAGAGAAACTAAAACTGGAGAGATATGATCTCTCCCAGTAACTCCAGTTAAGACTCTGGCAGCAGCATTTTGGATCAACTGAAGACGTTTTAAAGAAGTATTTGGACACCCAGATAATAAACCATTGCAATAGTCCAGTCTAGACGTGACAAATACATGGACCAGTTTTTCTGCATCATCTTTAGATCAGATGTTTCTAATGTTAGTGATATTACGCAGGTGGAAGAAGGAGGTTCTAGTAACGTTTTTAATGTGGGGGATAAAAGACATGTCCTGATCAAAACTAACACCAAGATTTTTAACATTAGAGCTGGAGGACAGATTAATGCATCTAAGGAGGGAGAAAGACTGAAACATTCATTCCTAAGGTGCTCAGGTCCAAAAACCAAAACCTCAGTCTTGTCTGTTCAACAGGAGAAAATTAAGGGTCATCCAGGTTTTTATGTCTTTAAGACATGCTTGTAGTCTAAGTAGCTGATTGGATTCATTGGGTTTAATGGACAAATATAATTGTGTGTCATCAGCATAACAATGAAAATGTATCCCATGCTGTTTAATAACTTTACCTAATGGAAGCATATATAAAGTAAAGAGTATTTGCCCAAGCACTGAGCCCTGAGGAACTCCATGACTAACTTTGGTGTATGAAGAAGATTTATTATTTACATTTACAAACTGGAATCTATCACATAGATATGATTTAAACCATTTTAGAGCTGTTCCTGTAATCCCAACATCATATTCAAGCCTCTGTAGTAAAATATTGTGATCAACTGTATCAAATGCAGCACTGAGGTCTAACAGGACCAGTAGAGACACAAGTCCATTGTCTGAGGCCATGAGAATATCATTAGTGACTTTTACTAGTGCTGTTTCTGTGCTATGATGAGCTCTAAACCCTGACTGAAACTCTTCAAACAGATTATTTCTTTGTAGATGTTCACGCAACTGACCTGCAACTATTTTCTCTAGAATTTTCTAGATGAAAGTTAGATTAGATATAGGTCTATAGTTGGTCAGAATTTCTGAATCAAGGTCAGACTTCTTAAGTAAAGGTTTAATTACAGCAACCTTAAAGCTCTGTGGTACATAACCATCCATTAAAGACAAATTAAGTACATCCAAAATGTGGACATTAATTAGGGGGAATACCTCTTTAAACAGTCTGGTTGGGATGGGATCTAGCAGGCATGTGGATGGTTTGGACCTGGCATAAAACATTTGATTGCTATTGATGATGATTGATTGTTTTGGATGGGTGTGCTCTGTTTGCATGTGTTAAAAGTCTGCTTCTGAGATTCCAGCAGGAGGTTGACTTGAAACACAGCAGTGAAGGCTACCTAAGGTTGGCAGGCTGTAGACTGAGGAAGTCCTCTGGATGGGGGACAAAATGTTTCTTCACTTAAAGAAACTGGTCCAGATGACACGATTTAACCTTTTTTTTTGTTGTTGTTAGTTATAGTTTTTTTTATGTTATAAACAGTTTTTATATGTAATATTCACATGTGCCTATAAAAAATTATTCACCCCCTTGTTTGTTTTATGCTTTTATTGTTGTCATAAATCAGTCATGGTCAATTTAAACTGGACTTTATGATAAATAAAAACATTATTAACAAAGTGAAATTACTGAATAAAAATCCATCGTCCACCCACTCATCCATCCATCCATCCATCCATCCATCCACCAATCCATCCACCAATCCATCCACCCATCCATCCGTCCATCCATCCATCCATCCATCCATCCATCCGTCCATCCATCCAATGCAGGTCTAGGCTAGCACTTGCCAGCAGACTAAAACATGGTAGCTCACTAAACAGCTGTGAGTGGAAATAAGACCAAACCAAACTGAGCTGCTTAAAGGTCCAAAGCCAACCAGTCAGCTGACAGAAAATTGCACTAAAAATAAAACAAAAGTAAAGAAATGCAAACAGAGCAGCTCCTGTAGAACAGGAACATTTTCTCTGCTTCTCCCACATCTTGAGAATCATGATGGGTTCATATAAAACCTGGATTTTTTTATTCCCAGTTATTTTGCTAAATAAAATGATGTTCTTTACTCTGCAGCAGGGGTTCGGACTAAGCTTGGTGTTCCCAGCTGACAGTTCGCTCACCGTGGAGTGTGTGGTGCTCTCACTGGAAGAATGAGTGTGACAGCTGCTAGGGAATCCTACTACACCATAAGGTCACATGGTACACTCAGACAGAGTCTATCCCTCTGATCCCTCCACCCCACCCCTCCCCTTTGACTTACTAATGCTGTGTACAGTGAGGCTTGTGGAGGAGGAGGGGGTGCAGCTGAGGCAGAGCAGGAGCAGGAGCAGGAGGAAAAAGAAGCAGAGAGCTGTGTGAGCCCAGATTACAACCACAGCACGAGCGCTCAGGAATAACAGAAACAGTTCCATCTTTTCTCTTCGTGTGAGCTGGGAGGACGGAGAGAACTTCATCCAAGCTGGACCTGCGGTCACACAGGAGGTTATGTGCTCGGGCAGCACTGAGGTGTGTGCAGCGAAGAGCTGGAGGAAGCTGACCTACTGAGAGCTGATCGCAGGGGTTTACGAGCCATGCTGAGGACCATTCTCTGCTGAACATGAACACCATGACCCAGGTGAGGAACTCAAGCCTGGTCTCTGTCTGTCATACCAACAACATCACATCAATACAAATACATGCAACACAACAGTGAAGCATTTTGGGAAAACTAATGTTTTAAGTGTGAATACATCTTATTCCATTCAGACAGCAACACCAAGCCAAAGCATCAGCTGAAACATCAGCTGAAACATCAGCTGAAACATCAGCTGAAACATCAGCTGAACGCTTGTGAGAGAATAAAGTTAGCATTTATCCCAGGACGAAGTGATCTCCAGCTCTCCAAACCCAAAAAGATGTTTATGGTTAATATGTTGGGATTAAATTAAGAATGTCCACTTGTAAAGCATGAGAGAATAATGTTTCTGTTGTTATTTACAGAAAGCAATGGCTTCAGGGGCTTCTCGTTGAAGCATTTAAAAGTATTGATGGACTGTATGAGTTGGAAACTCGCAGTTATTTGAACACGTTTCTCAGTGTCAGCCTTTAAACATTTATCTTGTCATATCACATAATCTACTAAAAGCTTAACTTGATAACATCCCAGCCTGAAATGTGACAGAGGCGCTGCAGCCACACAAGATGGATTTAAAACAGTTATTCCTCTTTTTAACCTCAAATCTTTCCCAGTCACTTGTTAGGTTTGTGTTTCAGGCTTAAAGAAATAGTTCCGCTCTTTGACGTTAGCACGCTTAGATTGATTTGTGTTGGACTTTAAGAGGAGGAGGGAATGACTGCCTTTCTTTTCTAATCTGCATTGTGTTTGCAGGAAATGGACACAATCACAGATTAGACAGAACTGTGTTAAAAAACAACAACATGTCATACAGAAATTGTGTTTATAATAGTAGTTAAATATGATACAAAGATTATTTCTTTGTACTACTGTATGCTTGTTTGTATTGTACCCCTGAGCAAAGAGGGGGAATTGGAAACAACCTCCATCCGTCTGTCCGTCTGTGTTGTGAGCATAACTTGAAACATATGTGATGCTACAACTTCCATTTTGGCTTGTGCCTTCATCTAGGAGCAAGAAAGTTGCTGTCAACACTTGGGTTGCCACATCAAAGTCCAAGATACAGCATGTTGGTACAAACAAATGGACCATCCCTATCATTTCCAGTTTTATATTGCTTAACAGTGTAGCTTCTAGGGTGTCCAAGGCCACCAATGTCCACCCCCTGGCTCCTCCATTGTGCCTTGTCTGGAATTTAACTGTTCCCTTCACTCACCAGGATCCATCACTATGTGCTGCCTCAGGCAAGAAACAAACAAACAAACACACACACACACACACACACACACACACAGTGGTGTCGTCGACTGTTTGGTGGTGCGTATACTGCGCTTAGAAACCAAAGTACACTGGTTCAATTTAATCATCAATTTATTTTGAGTTTTAAACATATTGAACATTTCCAAATTTCTTTGACGCTTATATTTGAACAAAAGAACAGCAAACTTAGTACAACACTTGTCTTTGTATTAACAACATGTTATATAATTTATAAAACAGTATCAAAGCAGAACATGTTCAAGTATGAAGTAGTGCGTACAGAAGTATTAATTACACAGTAATTCACTGGATTAGTGAGTGTAATAAACAAGTGTTGCTACAGACACATTGTTAGAGAAGTGTTGAACGTACCGATGACACGGGTCTAATGATGCGTCATGTGTCACTGGACACTTTGAAGTGGATATACTGACATTCTTCAGCTTTTCTAGTGGCTGTACTCCGTACGCCCGTGTATCACTGCCCCACTGCGTTCACACTTACATAAGCAACACCCTCTGTTCTACTACACAATGGAACTCTACCCACTTAAATATGCACCAGAAACATTAAGGGGAACGTGCATTCCCTGAAAAACACTCATCTCAAAGACTACAGACATGCACTATTCAAGTCCCTCAGCGATGGGGGACATCAGGGTGTCGGTTGTTTTTGTTGTCATCACTGGCAGCACGACGGTTCAGTGGTTAGCACTGTTGCCTCACAGCAAGAAGGTCCTGGGTTCAATCCCCGGTTGGACCTGGGGTCTTTGTGTGTGGAGTTTGCATGTTCTTCTCGTGCTTGCGTGTGTTTTCTCCAGGTGCTCCGGTTTTCTCCCACAGACCAACAACATGCGTGTTAGTCTGCCTTCAGGCCCAGGCCAACCTTGACAAAGGGATCTGTGATCTCAGTGGGATTTGTCTGGTTAAATCTGGTTAATACATTTAAAACTCACTGCAGGTGAGGCTTCAGCTGCCTCCCCTGCTGAACAGATGGAGAAGTTATTGACTGCGACAGCGTAGAACTGGCAACCTGTGGTAGACGCCGTGTACTCCATGTGCATTGTGCTTTTAAGAGACGTGCTTTTTATGGACGGAAGTGTCAGGATATCCTGCTCCTGCTGCTGCGCACAAACACAATCACTACAATCAATATGAAGAAGTTCAAGCTGCTGGCACTTCTGGAAGACTATATATTTCATAACGCCCGATGATGGATGCAGTTTAACAAAAATAAAACTGATGAAATGGAAAACATGATGTTCTTAAAAGATAATTACCAATTTTAAAAAGTTAAATTCTTGTTTTTCTAAGTGAGAAAAAGAATATTGCTCTTATTTTATTTTTTATTTTTTTAAAGGGGGCGGGGTTTAAAGAAGAAGCCTGACTGTCATCTTATTCAGTCCTCACATATTCCAGGGGATTGAACCAGTGACCTTGCAATCCCACACTCACCCTCTCTAACCTCTGCACCACCACTATTAACTAGTGTATGTTTTAAAAAACATAATCTTAATGAAGATCTAGAAATGTGTTTCTTTTATTAAAAGTAAACCGCAGTGTGTTTTGGAGCTCAGCTCAGCAGCACAAGCTTTATGTTGTGACTCGTCCTGAGCCGACATGTTCCCAGTTTAGCTGAGTACAGCCTGCAGGCCTCTCACTGCACTTCTCTTTACAGCTCCTCTGATTCACATGTCAATGGTCTCTTCTGCCCTAATGGCAGTGTGGGTTTATGTGTGTATTTACATTTAGTCAGTACTCCTTGAAGAAATACGTTTTGCCTTCTGCCTTTATGGCAGAGTTTTGCACTAACTGATCCTTGTGTTAAGATATGACGCAATTGTAGCCGTTTAGGACAAACGTTGAAAAACAACAAATGATGCTATCTCGTACAACATTAATTCATTTCAGTTCATTTCTATAGCACCAAATCACAACAAAGTTGTCTCAGGGACTTTACAGGAACATTCACATAAAAGCCAGTTAGTAAAGTTCTCTATCCGAGGAATCCAGCAGACAAGATGAATCTTGGCTTCGTTGCAGTCTCCCATCCTGAGCAAGCACAGTGGAGACAGTGGAAAGAAAAACTCCCTTTAACAGGAAGAAACCTCCAGCAGAACCAGCTCAGAACAAGAGACCATCTGCTTTGACCGGCTGGTTGAGAGGACAGGAAGGAGAGACAGACGAACACAGAATGGTAGGTCCAGGTGTAGGCGCAGGTCCAGGTGTAGGTCCAGGTGTAGGTGTAGGTGCAGGTGTAGGTGCAGGTCCAGGTGTAGGTGCAGGTCCAGGTGTAGGT